GGAGCTGAGATCCGCCCCTGTGTGCCCAGCACGCTGCCCCAGACGGCCGTGCATGCCTCCCTGCACTCACCATCTTGGCGCTGAAGCGGCCGTGGGCGAGCTCCCCCACGAAGGTGAGCTTGCGGGGCTCCGAGCGGCGCAGCAGGTGCTTCTGGACCCCCCCGATGGCCTCCAAGTAGTCCTCCAGCAACCTGGGGACCGGCCTGTCAGCGCCCACTGCCCGAGGGCCCCATGCCCGGCCCCCCACACCTCAGGCCCAGCGGGCACCGACTGGCCCAGCCCCATCAGCGCGCAGCACCCGCCCCAGCACGGCCTGACGGCGTGCAGTGCTGGCTCACTGTGGCTCGGTCTTGCCGCCCTGGATCCACTGCTTCAGCAGGTACTCGTAGTAGCTGTCGGCCCGGGCGCCCAGGGTGAACACGCCCAGGTGGGTGAAGAGGCCGCTGTGGGTGTTGATGAACATGGGCACCAGCCCGTCCTTCTTCCCCGGCAGGCTGTGAATGTGCCTCGTCACCTCCTCCGCAGCCTCCTGCAGCACAGGGGGGCGGGCTGCTGCAAGGGGCTGGCGCACCCAGGCTGCCTGGGACCAGCCCGCTCTGCTCCGGTGATGGCGGCGAGCTGGCACCTTGGTCGCAACGGCAGACTGCTCCTGCCCTGCGTGGGCTCTGGCCCCACCCGAAGGGTCGGACGAGCAGTCAGCACTTCCCAAGGACCTCCCAGGCCTGGCTGGCGGTGACCACGCTCCTGGCAGGCTCCTACACATCCCTCAGACCTGCCCTCAGTGCAAGAGGGGCCTGAGCCCTGGCAGGTACCTGCTGCCCCGCCACGCTCTACCCGCACACGGGCCCTGGCCCGAGCCCCAAGGCCTCTCCTGCGAGTCCCTGGGGTGTCAGGCCCACCCCAGGAGCCCCAGCAAGGTGCCCTCTGTACACATGCAGGCAGTGGCAGCTCAGGCCTCGCGGGGTGGGGAAAGGTCAGGGTCCCGACCTCAGAGCAGGTCGTCTGCACCTCACGGCAGGACACGCCGCGTCGGACATGGCTGACAGGGTGGAGGTGCTGCCTGCTCCGCCCTCCACTCTTTCAGGAGCTGGCCGAAGACCAGCCCCAACTGGGCCTGGGGCAGCTCATCAGGGCGCTGCGGCCCTGCCCTCCTGGTGCAAAGCAGGATGCTCTGTCTCAGCCTCTGGCCTGCACGCTGCTCCCCTGGCACAGCTGGTTCATTTCAGCCCCATCTCAGGCCTGGCAGCTCAAGAATCCCAGCTTGCTGAGGGAGGGCGCGGAGGCCGAGAGGTGTGTCCAGAGGCAGAGCAGGGTCGAGGAGGTCAAGCCCCACCAACGCCCAACGCCCGGCTCGTCACCCTCTCCAGCTTGGCTTCAAGTCTCAGCGTCCACGGGTGCCTGTGGGCCAAGACAGCCACAGGGGGAAGGCGCATTGCAGACCGCACATCTGGGGGAGCGAGAACTCCTACAGTTCTGCGACAACACAGGTAACCTGATGAAAACCTGGGCAAAGGGGGTCGACCCAGCGGCTTAGGGAGCTGGGTCCCTGGTTCAAGTCCTGGCTCCGGTAGCTTGGAAAGCACGCCAGGTGTGGTGTCCTACCCTGTGACAGGACGGAGGGTGGAGGAGGGCCGAGATGTGGCCGTCCCTCGGTGGGGTATACTTTCTCTTGTCCCACCCCCGCCAGCAAATGCACTTTTTTTTCTGCCTTACCAAAAGAGAAAACAAGGGACCAGCAGTTGGCGTAATGGCTATGTCACTGGACTCCCACGTGGTCGACCATGGTTTGCGTCACGGGCCCGGTGGCTTAAATTCACGCCGGGTGCGTGTGCGTGCGTGCCCAAGATCCCGAGAGGAGAATGGAGGAGAAGGGATTGCGACGTGGCCATGCCCCCTGGGGGGTGATTTCTCACTTTCTGTCTCTCTCTCTCTCACTGTCTGTCTGGCAAGTGCATGCGCCCTATAGCAAAAATCTCTTTAAAAAAAAAAATTACTCAGCATCACATATTAATAGGCTTTTGTAAAAAAAAAAATGAGCATATTAATTGAGCACCCAGCATCGCTGTTGAGGAAACTTGAGACCCACAGGGGCAGGCTCCTCCCACCCTCGAGGACCGCCACCACCACAGGACAGAAAGCGGTGTGGGTGGGGGCAGGCGTGAGAACAGTGAAGGCCAGCTCTTTGAAGCACCCAGAGCCCACTTCCGGCTACCACCCCAGAAGGAACAAGGAAGAGCCTTCGCCCATCAGAACACCCAGGTCGCCGTCCCCGGGGAACTGCCGCGTGCCCGTCGAGGTGAGTGGAAGCCCAGCCCAGTCCTGGCAGGGCAGGCAGGCTCACAAAGGTGGGGAATTCTGCCACCACCTCTCACAGGGACATGCAGAGACATGGCCACCAGCAAACGAGCGCCACAGAGCAACACTGCGACCCCGCGGACTAGAGGTACTCAGCTTGGCGGGACAGGGCCAGGTCAGTGGGGCTGCCGCCCGGCTGGGAGGTATGGGGAGCTGCACGGCCCGGGTGTGACGTGCTCGCAGCTCAGGATGTGCAGACAGCCGTGGGTCTACAACTGCCCGCGTCCCTCCCTCCGCCCGGGGGGGGGGGGGCACATGCACAGGCCCCGAGAGTGTCTGTCAAGCCAGGGGGCCAGGATGCAAACCGGCGTCAGCAGCTGGGACTGGCGCCGAGAAAGGAGCTGAGCCACCGAGCTACACTCCGTATACTTCAACGCCCTGTTCACTACGGGCACTGTCCAGTCTGCTCCCCCCAGGGCTGTCCGAGCCTCGGTCCTTGGGCTCGGGCACTCACGTGCGTGTCGTGTTTTGGGCTACCTCTGGGATGGGGCTTCTCTGGACCAGCACAGGCCCCCTTACGGCCTGTCTGCAGTTGCCAGTGCCGCCAGAGCACAGTGGCGGCGGGTGGGTGAGGGCTCAGGTGGCAGCCGGGCCGCTGTCCTGACCTGCTGCTGGGCTCCTAGGCTGGACACCTGCCCCTTCCCACTTTACCTTGGTCTCTGCACGTGCCAGACAAGGGGCCACAGTATGACAGGCAGCCACAGGCTAGCAGAAGGCGCTGGAAGAGGCGTCAGGGCATCCGGACGAAGGCCAGCGTTGCTCAGGCAGACTGCCCTGCCCCAGGTGGGATCGGGACCTCCAGCAGGGCCATGTTCTGGCAGTGGACTGGCCTTTCCTGGGTGCGAAGGTGCATGGTGCCGGACCCAGGATCTGAGCTGAAGCTCTTTGGAGAGCCTGAGCCAGCTCGGGGCTGTTGGGGTGCACACCTGGTGCCTGGGCCCGGGCCTATGCGCAGCTCACCTAAGAGCCTGCAGGAGGGCAGCTGGCCAGAGCCAAGTGGACACAGGGCTGGGAGACAGTGGGTCTCATGGCATGGGGCTGCCTGCCGGTGCTCAGTGCTCCAGCACCTCGGCATACCTAGCCTGGAAGACCCTCACGGAGCCGAGACCAGCTGGGTCGGGAAGAGACCTGGGTGCTCGACTGAGTGGAGGGGCGGGGCTGCCCAGCCAGCCAGTAGGTCATGTGGGAGGACACGGGTGTGCAGCAGGCCACGGTGTGGAATCTTTCCAGGTGAGAGGCTGAGCAACACCACTGGCTGCAGCGCTGGGCGTGGGCCCTGACAGCCCCGAGCTGGACCCTGCCGGTGCGTCGTGCACCTTCACGCCCAGGAAAGCTCGTCCTGTTGCCAAGCACGGCCACCTGGGGCAGGGGACTCGGCCCTGAGCAAAGCCAGCCCTCATCCCAACGCCCTGACACAGCACATGAACCCACTCTCTGCCAGGCGCTGCCGGGAGGCAGTCATGCCTTTGCACCTCCGACCCAAAGAGAGCGGCACTGGGACAGACGCGCGTCCTGAACGTGGGGCCCCGAGGCGCGCGGGGCCGTGCAGGCTACGGCACCAAGGCGCTGGAGGTGGAGCTGGGTTGGTGAGGGCACGGCGACAACCAGTGCCGAGGACCCGGCCACCTGGCTGAGACGACGTGCTCACGAAGCCACAGGAGGTGGGCGCAGACCCTGCGGGAGACCTCCATCCAGCACCGAGAATCGGGGACTGAGGCCCTGCTGGCAGCAGGCCTGTCCGGGCCTCCCAGCGAACACCGCCCTCCCCACACTAACACGCCACTCTCAGACGCCTCCAGGCAGCCAGAGCACGGGGAGCGCCTCCACACTCGTCAGGAGGCCAGCATCACCTGGGATCACAGCCGGGCCAGAACACGGGCATGGGGGAGAGGCCCCGGGGAACACAGCAGGGCCACGCGGGAGGCACAGGTGTCACCCTGGGCTCTGCACACCGGACACACGCATGTGGCTGAGGCCTGTGCTGCTTGAGACCAGGCTGGACTGTGCTGGGGGGCCTGCGGAGACACCTCTGCTTCTCCCTCACAGAGAAACATCCTTTTTTTTTTTTTGGAGAGGTTTTTGCTATAGGGCACGTGCGCTTGCCAGAGAGATGGAAAGTGAGAAATCACCCCCAGGGGGGATGGCCACACCGCAATCCTTTCTCCTCCATTCTCCTCTCGGGATCTTGGGCATGCACGCACATACAGACGGCGTGAGTTTAAGTCACTGGATCCAGGACTTGAACCGCGGTCGACTACATGGGAGTCCAGCAACGTAGCCATTACGCTAACTGATGGTCCCAGAAACATACTTTTTTAAAAAATTTATCTGAATTGCAGAGGGAACGTGCACTTGCAGAGACAGACAGAAAGCGAGAAAGCGCCTGTAGTGGGTGTGGGCACATCGCAAACCGTGCTTCCACCTCTCCATCCTGCTGGTGTCTGGGGCAGGCACATGGGCGCAGGGAGTTTTTTAAGCTGCCAGGGCCAGGACTTGAACCATGGTCAGCCATGTTGTATCCAACTTCCTTAACCACTAGGCTACACAGTTGGCCCAAAACTTTGTTGTTGTTGTAAATAGGTGCAGGCACTTGCAAGAGAGAGACAGAATGAGACGGAACGTGAACTAACATGCCCATGGCCGACGGCCACACTGCAATCCTTCCGTGCAGTTGGCCGTGTGGAATCCAGTGCCTTAACTAGCATGTCATTACCTAGCCCAAACTATTTTTAAAAAATACAGAACTGCCTCAACTTAATAAAAACTGTAAATGACAAAAAAAAAATCTTAATCACAAAATCTAAAATGCTCGGGAATCACCAAAGCACACCTGGTGCGAGCCCTAGACACCACTGTCGGGGGCGGCGGGCAGGGCACGCCTGGGCGCGGACGGGGCAGACGCACCACTGTGACCCGTCACGCCCTGCAGGACAGAGGGGCCTGTCCTGACGTCCATGGAGCCTCAAGGGCCCACAAATAGCCAAAACAGCCCTGAAGGGAACAAACAGAGCTGGGAAACTCACGCCTCCTGATTCAAAACACACTGCAGAGCAACGGTGAGGAAACCGGCACAGCAGTGGGCCGGCCGTGGCGCGGCGGAGATGCCCTGCCAGGAGCGACCAGAGCCCACGTGGCAGCATGGCCACCTCGGAACGCCAGGCACGGGGGCCGGCAGGCTGGAGGGCCGGGGCAGAGGTCGGGGTGCCTGGGCTGGCGGAGGGCGGACGCCGTCACACAGAAAAAGTGTGGTCTGTCGTCAAAGACGGGCGTGTGCTCCGGCGGAGGCAAACACATCTCACATGTATGTGCGAGCCCTTTTAGATAAGGGCGCCAAGACCATCCCACGGGAAAAGGACTGTCTTCCCTTGCTGCAGGGCACGTGTGCTTCCCACCTGCTGGGTGAGACAGTCTTTTCAATAGGTGGGGCCGGAGCGGGGCTGGAGCCCATCCGGTGCGTGTAAAGGGCTGCCTCCAGGTGGGCCATGGGCCTCGTGGAGGCAAAGACCGCGGCCCTGGGGGCACCTGAGGGCAGGAGCGTCACAACACTGGACTCAGCCATGAACTCCACCCTGATTCGAAAGGCACCAATGACGAAAGGCAAAATAGATGAAGCAGGCCTTTGCAGGTGGTGTGGAGGTTAAGGCGTTGGATTCCATATGGCCAACTGCATGGTTCGAGTCCTGGACATGGTGGCTTGAAATACATGCTGGGCGCATGTGCGTGCTCGAGGTCCCGGGAGGAGAATGGGGCAGGAGGGACTGCGTGGCCATCCCCCTGGGGGGCGATTTCTCACTTTCCCTCTCTGTCACTGTTTCTCCAGCAAGTGCAAGTGTCCTATGACAAATTTTAAAAAATAATAAAACAAGGTAGGTGTGAAATTAAGAAAGTAATAAAATACATTAGATAGGCTTGGCTTGAGTGGAAGCCCTGCCCAGCCAGTCCTGGACGCCTACCTGGAACTTTCTGTCCCCCGTGAGACGGGAGAGCTCCCGGAACTCCAGCTGGATACTCGTCACCTCGGCCACCGTGCTGTCTGAGGTCCAGCGCGGTGGGTGGGCGACACCGGTGCCAATGTTCACGTCCGAGTACGGGATCTTGGAGGGCGTTTTGAAGGCGGGCATTAGCCGGTTCCCAAAGTCTTCCTGGTGTGGGAACAGAGCCGGAGCACGTCAGGCCACCCTCCACGGCAGTAGCGAGGCACGTGGGGGCAGTGGGGCCGTGTCTGCCCACACGCGGGGCCAGGCGGGCTCACGCGGTGCAGAGGTAAGCCATGGGGCCCGCTATTCCTCGCCACCCCTCTGCCGGAGGATAGTGGCTCAGGCCCGGCCCGGCCAGAAAGCACTCACGGCTTTCCGCAGGAAGAGGCTGTCTCCAGACAGGTGGTAAGCGCTCAGGAGCCCGCCCAGGATCCGGATCGTGCTCTCGAATAGGCTCACGTCCACGTCCTTCTGAAAGTCTAGCTTCTGCGACACCCACTTCCTGGCTTCCTCGAACTCTGCGGTATGAAACAGTAAAGGCCGGGCCAGTGGGCGGCGGGGTGGCGGGAGTGCTGGACTCCCACATGGCTGGCCACAGACTGAGTCCTGAGTGCTCACTCTGGTGAGTGCACGTACCCTACAGCAAATTAAAATGAATAATAAATGGGACGAGCAGATAGCGCTTGGTTATGTCACTGGACTCCATCGCTAACCATGGCTCAAGTCCCGGACCTGGTGGCTTGCTTTCTCTTTCTATCTCTGGGCAAACTAAAATAAATAAATAAATAAAGTTAAATAAGATAATTCTTTAGATAACAATCAAGTCATAACGGTTAAGTGGGACCAGTGGATAGCTGAACTCCCACATGACTGACTGAGGTTCGAGTCCCAGACACGGCAGCTTGAAACTCACGCTGGGCGCATGTGCGTGCGTGCCCAAGATCCCGAGAGGAGAATGGAGGGAAAGGAATTGTGGCGTGGCCATCCCCCCTGGGGTGATTTCTCGCTGTCTCTCTCTCTCTTTCTGGTGAGTGCATGTGCCCTATAGCAAAAACCTCTCTCTAAAAAATAATAATAATAGGGAACCAGCAGTTAGCGTAATGGCTATGTCACTGGACTCCCACGTAGTCGACAGTGGTTCGCGTCCCGGACCTGGTGGCTTAAAACACACGCCGGGCGCCCCCCTCCAGGGGCCCCGTGGCTGGGGCTTCCGCCCAGCGCAGCCCGGCCCCCTCCCTGGCCTCTCCGGCGCTGGATGGCCTGGAGGCCGAAAACAAGGTTGAAGAACTTGCAACTTGAGAAGATGATAGTTACCAGCCCTGCATTACCTCAGTGGAAAACAAGAACTACTCTGCCATTCTTAAGGAAGCCAGATACCCAAGGACAACTCACACTGCAGATCCCCACAACACCATTCCTGGTAACTACAAGATGACTGCTGTGCCGCATCAGCTGATAATCATCCCTGCGTACCAGAACTGCTTTCCTGAAACTGCATTCCCTGGAGACTCACCTACACTTGCGGATCTGCAGGAGACCCTCCCTTAATCCAACCCTGAGTGGAGTTTATGCTCCCTATTGCCAAAAACTTTATGAGCTGATGGTTGGAACTCGTGGCCTCTCTCCCTTTACTTGTATGTATCACTTTTTCAGTAACTCTTCTGGAAGACAACTGTATATAGCAGGGATATTGTAATGGGAGAGTGAGACAGGGCAGAGGGACAAACATAGGAAAAAAAATTTAAAAAAAGAGGAAGAGGGAAAAAAAACATATATATATGTGCATAAGCAAGAAAGTAGAAGTGGAATATTATTGATGATAACATGCTTGATTAAGTCACTATGCAGACTATTCTAGATGGGAAATTACATTTAGTACGCTGTGATGATGCTCAGGGAATGAAGGTTAGGTAACAAAACAAAACAAAACAAAACAGTAAAACTATTTGTACCATTAAAAAAAAATAAAAAAGGATATTTGATGGCTGCAGTGAGCGGTATGGGCCCAGCTGGGCTCTACTTTATAGTATGCTCTTTTTACTCACTGGGGTTTATGCCTAAAGTCAGACTTGAGTTCATGTATAGGCATGTGTCAGCTGTGATAACTATTGGAGAGACTTAGACTAATTAAGTTCACTGACAGATCATTTGGGGAGGGGGGAGGCACGGAGGGCAATCGGGGATGACAGGGACAATGTGGGAGGAGGATGGGTCATAACAGAGGGAGGGGGATGGGGAATCTAGGATGGTAAAACAAAAGGCAAGGTATGCAGGACACAAGAATTGGGAAATTATTTGCTGAGAACATATATGTTGACGTGCTTGATTGAGCCAACGCACAGTATATATTGGATGGAAAATTCATTTGAGTGTTGCGATGGGAAAAAAAAACAAGCGCACGTGCCCTATAGCGAATAAACCTCTCCAAAAAAATAATAAATAAACAAACAAACAAGCAAACAGAACCAGCAGTTAGCACAATGGCTATGTCGCTGGACTCCCATGTAGTCGACCGTGGTTCGCGTCCCGGACCCGGTGGCTTAGACTCATGCCAGGTGCGTGTGCGTGCGTGTCCAAGATCCCAAGAGGAGAATGAAAGAGAAGGGATTGCGGCGTGGCCATCCCCCTGGGGGGTGATTTCTCACTTTCTGTCTGTCTCTGTCTGTCTGTCTGGTGAGTGCACATGCCCTATAGCAAAATAACCTCTCCAAAAAACAAAAAAAAAATAAACAAAATGAAATAAATCTTAAAAAGTGAAAATAAAGGTCACAAGGTCAAATGAGCGGCCCCCTCGCGCTCCTGCAGCCCACCCCGTCCCAGCCGCGCCGGTGCCCGGGCCTCCTGACTTCGGCGCTAGCCCCCACTTCTAGGGTGGACCCAAGCCCCCCCCGCGAGGCAGAGCAGAGGCAGCAGGGCGGCTGCTATGGGCACAGCGCTCTCAGAGGCTGAGGCAGCCTCGGCAGCCCTCGCCTGCACGTGAGAACCACAGGCAGGGCCCCGCCCCGGGCTGGGCTATCGGGGCGTGGGAGGTCTGGGGCTGCGGCAGGCCCACGTCTGCCACACGTCCTCCTGCAGCTAGGGGCTGCGGTGACGGCCCAGAGCCTACTCTCAGCTCTTGCAGGGGACGTGACAAAAATACAGCTGTCCTGGGTGTGCCCTGGGCGCCAGACTCAAGAACGGGACTGACCACACCACACCCAGCAGCCCTGCCCAGACAGGACCACACACGGACCCCACGCTGCGGCCTGCATCTCTCGGAGAATGTGGCCTCACTTGGGAAAGGAGCCAGTACCTTTCTTCAAACCCAAAATCCACATGGTGTCCAGGGCGTCAATCAGAGTGAGGCCGAGGCCGAACCACTCGCTGAAGGACCTAGACAGCGGCTTCAGCTCATCGTGGCCCCAGGCGAACTTGCGGTACCCTTTCCAGGCGTGCAGGAAGACCTCGGTCACCCTCTTCTGGCGATAGTTTGGGGGTGCTAGAAGTGGAGGGGACAACCATGGAACAGGGCCTTGGGTCAGAGCAGACAGGGCTGAGGTGGGTGGGCAGGGTGGGAGTGCCGTGCAGTGTGGGCCGGCAGAGGGACCTGAGGGAGGGGCATGGCCCAGCGAGGCAGCCAGGTGTCTGGAGGCCTCACAGGACTGCACTGGGCACCGACCACCTCCCAGGGCTCATCTGCGTCTGCCTCGGCAGGTGTCTGCTAGGGCCACGGGGTCAAAAGCCTGGGAGGAGACACCACAGGCCGCAGACCACCTGCTCCTGCCACGAGTGGTCAAGACAGGACACGGGGCCAGCAGGTGGCGTGGTTAAAGGCACTGGACTCCCACGTGACTGACCACAGTTCAAGTCCTGGACCTGACAGCTTGCCTTCTCCCTTTCTCTCTGTCTCTATCTGTCTGGTCAAAATAAAACATAATAATAAATGGAAATAAATAAATAAGTAGTTATAAAAAGAAAAAAAAAAAAAAGGAGGCATGGAGTGGCAACAGGACCGAGAGTGGGCCCGGCCCTGCCCACTCTCAGCAGCCCTGGTGCCAGGCCCAGGCTGGCCAAGGCCGTCCCCACCCCAGTGACCTGGAGCTTCCGGGAGCCTGGGACCAGGGCCAAGGCCAGGGCCACAGGACAGGACAGGTGTCCTCACCCACCCCAAGGTATAGCCTGGGCCCAAGCAGGCAGACCAGCCCTCGTCCCACAGCCAGGGGTCACAGGCCCAAGCTGCCACCAAGGCTCTGGCAGACAGGACCCGCTGGCACCAACAGGAGGCCCAGGTGCCACGCCAATGGCGGGGTGCACGTCCACGCTCCACGTCTCAGACGCCTGGAAAGGTGAGGGAGGGCGGGGAGGGTCTCACCTGGTCTGTCCTGCATCCTGGCCTCAGCCAAGGAAGGCCTGGCGGGCGGCTCAGCTGTCTTCGAAGGAGGTTCGCTGCCCGGCTCAGGCTCAATCACAGCGCCCCTCCAGCTGGGGACAGGCAGCAATGGCTAAGCAGGCCCGGCCCCAGGGACAAAGGGCAGGAGGGCAGTGGGCCATCAGGGTCGTAGCACCACTGCAGGGCTGGGGCGCAGGGGAGAGGCAGGCCCTGGCTGAGCCAGGCGCACAATCGCCATGGGCTGCCTGGATGCTGGGAAGGCCCAGGGCCCACAGAACGCCACGGAGGAGCGCTGTCTGGAAGTGCCGAGGTGACGGTCACACAGACTAGACTGACCCACACCTGGATGTAGGCCCACCCCGATTTCTCTGCCGAGGATCTGTCTGGGGTCAGCAGGCGAGGGTGGGCAGAGGGACTGCCAATAGCCTGTTCATGGTGCCTGGGCCCAGGCCACCACCCGAGTGTCACCAAGCACCACGGCCCGCTCAGGGCTCAAGTCTAGGGGACTCAAACACAGCGTTTGTGGCCAAGCTGCACCCCCAGCCCCCCACGCACCGCCAGCACAGGCCTCAGCCCAGGCACCAGTCTGAGCACAGCCACTCTCCGGGGCCACACGTGGGCTTCTGGCCTGGCTCTGCGCCAGACGCTGGACAGCAGAGAAGGGAGAGGCCTGAGGGAGCCCTGCTCCCACCACGGCACCGGCTGATGCGACTCAGCCCGGCCTCGGGAGCCTGGCGTGCGGCCATGCCTCTCGCTCTCCTCAGTGTGGGCCAGGGCTCAGGAAATGCTCCCCACCCACGGGCCCGGCTCCTGCGCCCCAACCTGCACATACCAGAAACAGCTGGGCAAGACATGGCAGCCTGTCGCTGTCAGCCTGCCCTCGCCTCCCCGGGGCCTGGAACCACAGGCCTCCCTACCTGATGAGTCGCTGTCACCCCGCCCTCGCCTCCCCCAGGGCCCGGGGCCACAGGCCTCCCTACCTGATGACAGTCCTCTGCACAGCCTCGCCCCGGTGACCATTCCCGGGCGCCTCTCCCCTTTGCCGGGCGCCATCCTGCGGCCCGGCCTTTGTGCCTCTGCTGGGGGCGCGAATCTGCAGGTGGGGTGGGCCCCGTCGGAAATGCTTTCGGGGTTCCTGGAGGAGAACCAGAGTCACACATGAAGGCCATGGAAAGTGCAAGACAGCAGCTCCGAGGGCCCCTCCAGGGCAGACCAGCTGCAGGGCCGTGAGGACACGGCCTTGGGGCACATATGCACGCCTCAGGCGAGGTCCTCACCAGCCATGGAGACCTGACACTCAGCCAGGAGTCATGGCCAAGGGGTGGAACTCCTGCTTGGGGCATGCCCAACCAGCCCGGACCCAGGGCTAACAGAATGGACTGGGGCAGAGGTCAGCACTGGAAGCCAAGCCAGCGGAGCCAGAGGCCTGCTCTTCACCCTCCTGTCCTGACGGCTGCAAGGTCCCTGGTCCCTGGGCACGTGTGTCCCGCCCTGCACCCGGGAGCCCTGGGGGTCCGCTCCCAGACGCATGGCCCACAGCCCCTCCTGGGGCCCAAGCCTCATCAGCTCCCCCATGTCATCCCATAGGCAGGCTCGGTCCCTTCCTCCGTGGCTGTTTCCCCCGGCACTTCTGTAACGTCCTTCCGGATACTCGGACGTGCAGCGGTGCCTCGTCTTGCTTTAAGGAGGGCCCCCCCGGGTCACAGTCCCTGTCGTGGCCTCCCCAGGAGCTGACCCTACAGTACCACCTAGTGCTGTTTCCAGGTTGCAGGAATCAAACCCAAGATGCTGCGTGGCACGAGCGACATCGTTCACCATTGTTTAGCCAGAGGTGCGTGAGCTCCAGGCAGAGAGGGGAGAGGGCGAGAAAGCACCCCACAGAAAGCACCCCACAGGCAGGCCGGTCTCTCCACCTCTCCCTCCTCTGGAGACTTTGGGTATACACACATCTGGGGATCGGGTGTTTTCTTCATCCTACCGGGTCCAGGACTGGAACCACAGCGGCCGTGTGGGACCTGCTCACCTAGCCACCAGGCCACAGCTGCCCCATACCTCACTAAGAAGCCACACAGCAGTTCGAAAGATTCATTTACAGCTCCGACTAAGACGCTCACGCTAGGTCACAGGAGCAGGCGGCGGGGCTGGGGTGGCTGCCCAGCCCACTTCCCCGAGCCGCTGAGCCCAAGACTGGAACCCTGGAGTCGCCTAGCAGCCACTGCACCACTGGCCAGCTGCCCCATCCTTCCTGGACACAGCCCAGAGCCCCTGCAGAGTGGACGCAGCCCCGACTATGTGTGGACAGCCAGGGTAGGACTTAAGCCCACGGCTGATGGGCTCCTTGAGTCCAGTGGGGCCGCCGCACCACTGTCCAGCACCAGCTGCTGGCAATGTGTTAGGTGAGCACACACGTGTTCTAGCTTTTAAAGAAAGATTTGTGCAGGGCCAGAACGTGGCACGGTGGTTAAGGCCGATGGACTCTCAGATGGCCGACTGTGGTTCGAGTCCCAGACCTGGCAGCTTGCTCTTTTCTGTCTCTCTCACTGTCCTTCTCTGGTAAAGTGTTTTTCTTTTTTGAGAGGTTTTCGCTATAGGGTGCGTGCGCTCACCAGACAGACAGAGACAGAAAGCGAGAAATCACCCCCCCAGCAGGGATGGCCACGCCGCAATCCCTTCTCCTCCATTCTCCTCTCAGGATCTTGGGCATGCACACACACGCGCCCGGTGTTTGGGTTTTGAGCGCCCAGGTCCGGGGCTCGAACCACGGTCGACTACATGGGAGTCCAGCAACATAGCCATTACGCTAACTGCTGGTCCCTCTGGTAAAGTTTTTTAAAAATAAAGTTAAATACAGTAATTCTTGGACCAGCAGGTGGCATGGTGGTTGAGGTGCTAGACTCCCACATGGCTGACCATGGTTCGAGTCCCGAACCTGATGGCTTGCTTTCTCTTTCTTTCTCTCTGTCTCTCTCTGGTCAAAATGCAATAATGGTTATAATAAAGAAAAAAGTGAAAATAAATAAATCTTAAAATAAATAGTTAAAATGTGGAGAGCAGCCAATCTGAAAACATGTAATGAAGACACGTGGCCTGTAGCCACCTGCAGAAATGCACTTCCTGCTACTCCTGCAGGGCTGAAAGGCACCGACAGGAAGGACAGTGCCTGCCTGCTGTCAGTGGCACCCAGTACCCTGATACGATACTGCCCAGTACCGGGCTAAAGGATGCCACATGCGACAAAGACTAGAGAAATTATTGGTGACAGTCATTTTCACACCTTCACTCGATTTACATCCAACAACTGGCTGTGCATTCCGATTCCTCCTCCCCATTCTCTCTGCATTCCACTTCCTTCTTCCCCATTCCTTTTGCGTCCCATTTCCCCCTTCCCCCATTCTCTGCCCTATAAAAGAATAAACCTGAGGCTGGTTCTGGTGGCAACTTGTCCATCAGAGAAGCTGCGCCCACTGAACCCTCGCTTTTCTATACCCGCGCGTCTGTGTGTGTTTGTTACTGCGTCTATTTCTAATCCGCAGCCTTCCCACTCAGAGAAGCGTGTTCATGCCGAGCTGGTCCTGGCCGTCTACGTGGGAGTGCAGCGATATAACCACTATGCCCTCTGCTGGTCCCGGCCGTTAAATACAGTAATTTAAAAAATAGAGTGCAGCAGAATGCGTGCGCCCACCATAGAGAGACAGATACAGGAAAGGAGAACTCACCCCCGGGGACAGTCACGTCACAATCCCTTCTCTTCCATTCTTCTCTCAGGATCTTGGGCACACACGCACACACACCCAGCTTGAGTTTCAAGCCACCAGGTCCAGGACTTGAACCATAGCTGGCCATGAGGGAGTCCAGTAGTGTAACCATTACGCCATCTGCTGGTCCCATGATTCATCATTTAAAAAAGAAAAGCCTGCCAGTGGTGTGAAGTGGCTGGATCCCACGTGGCCGGCTGGGCAGTATGGAAAAGCGTGCCAGGCACGTGTGTGTGCCCGAGGCCTCAGACGGGGAAGGAACGACGGCACGGCCTTCACCCTCCCTCTCTGCGGCAAGCACGCACGCCCTCTGGCAAATTTACAAAAAAGGGCGGGCTGCAGGAACGCTGGGTCCCACTGTCCACAAGAGACTCCCTGAGACCCAAAGGCGGAAAATGAAAGCGTGGGAGAGACAGCCAAGCACACATGGCTGGTTAGCATCAACCTGAGTTTTAGTCAGGAAAGGCTCCCAATACAAAGGATGTGAACCGCGTACGGTACGAGGGTCAGCTCGCCAAGTCAATAGAGCGTCTCCACCCACCTGGACACCCCGGCAAGGCTGCCCCAGGCTTCCTGTTTGTACCTGTGCTCTAGAAAGGCCGTCTGAGCTTCCAGGATCAGGACACCTTCTCTGCCGGTCACTTTTAGGGTTTTCTCAATTACTGGGACCAGCAGTTAGCATAATGGCTAAGTCACTGGACTACCATGTAGTCAACTGTGGTTTGAGTCCCAGACCCGGTGGCTTAAACTCACGCTGGGTGCGTGTGCGTGCGTGCCCAAGAGCCTGAGTGGAAAATGGAAGAGAAGGGATTGTGGCGTGGCCATCCCCCCTGGGGGGTGATTTCTCGCTTTCTCTCTGACCCTGTCTGTCTTTCTGGAGCATGCACGTGCCCTATAGCAAAAAATAAAAAAAACCTCTCTCCCTCCAAAAACAATTTTCTTAATTATCAGAAAGACTGCGTGTCCTGACCATAGAGACAGAGAGATAGAGAGAGAAGACGCCTTCCCCGGCCTGGCCAGCACTACCCTCTGTCCTCCGCCCAACTTTCCCGCCAGAAGTTTGGACACGCATGTGTCCAGCATGTTTTCAAGGCAATGGGGCCAGGATTCCAAGCATGGTCAGCCATGTCAGATCCAGCTGTCAGCTCATGGTGTTTAACCACTGCTCGAGGCCAGCGCCAAATCTTCAACTTCACTTAAAAATGAAGCTGGCATTGGCCTTGTGCTTAATTGGACTCCACATGACTGACCGTGGTTTGAATCCCAGCTACGGTGGCTTGAGACACACTCAGAGCACATGTGCATGCGTGCCCGCGCCCTAGGAGAGGGAGAAACGGAGAAGGGACAGGGCCAGGCCCTCAGAGCACACTCGCTCCCCGTGGGCCTGCGCACGCCGCCCTCTAGTGACTAACGGGAAGTGGGATGTGGTTATTTTGAAGAGTTTAATTAACTAATGACCTAATTCACCTAACACAGGACAAGATGTGTATGTGGGAGCCAGCAGGCGGCGTGGGCACTAAGGCGCTGGACTCCCCCACAGCAGTTCAAGCCCGGGACCCGGTGGCTGGCTCTCTCATTTCCCCTTTTTCTTTGGCTCTCTCCCCCTCTGGTCAAATGAAAACAAATAAATAAAGTTTAAAAAGCATGATCCTTTGGGAACCAGCAGTTAGCATAATGGCTATGTCGCTGGATTCCCACGTAGTCGACCGCGGTTTGTGTCCTGGACCCGGTGGCTTAAAACTCACGCCGGGCGCGTGTGCGTGTGTGCCCAAGATCCCGAGAGGAGAATGGAGGAGAAGGGATTGCGGTGTGACCATCCCCCCTGGGGGGTGATTTCTCGCTTTCTGTCTCTCTGTCTCTCTCTGTCTGGCGAGCGCATGCGCCCTATAACGAAAACCTCTCCCAAAACAAAGAAGCCCAGCTGCACCCACCGGCTCCTGCTCCCCTAAGGGCCTCTTTCCAGGCACTGTCCACCCGCAGTCCCGGGGAAGGGCCCCTCCCAGTCTTGTGCCCTCCTCTGAATCAAGGGATGCATGCTTGGTGACAGCGGGGAGACCCTGAGTCACAGCCGGTCACGTGTGTCACCATGGGAGCATTAAGCTCCTGGGGCCAGCAGGTGGCATGGTAGTCAGGGCGCTGGACTCCCACATGGTCAACCGTGGTTTGAGTTCCACATCTGGTAGCTTGCTTTCTCATTCTCTTTCTTTCTCTCTCTGGTCAAAAAGAAGAATAACAATAAATAAATTAAGTTAAATAAATAATTCTAAAAAAAAAAAAAGAAACAAGAAAAATCATTAAGCTCCCAAGAATAAATTCTTGCAGGGAACAGCAGAGGGCATACTGTTTACATTGCTGGACTCCCACATAGTCAACCACAGTTCAAGTCCCGGACCCAGAGGTGTGCTCATAGAAGGGACGTGGTATGGCCACCCCGGGCTGATATCTTGCTCTCTCTCTGCCTCTCTCTCCCTCTGGTAAGCACACACACTTTGTAGCAAAAATCTTTGGGAAAAAAAAAGAAACCTTCAGGCCAGCAGGTGGTGTGCTGGTAAAGGGTGCTAGACTCCCACATGACCATCACAGTTCGAGTCCCGGATCTGGTGGTTTACTTTCCCTGTTTCTCTCTCTGTGTCCTCCCCTGGTCAAATTAAAATAAACAAATAAATAGAGTTATACAAAATAACTCTTGAAAAAAGAAACATACTATAGGAGAGGGTGTGCCCACATGGGTGGTACTGTGGCCCTTCGCTGTGTGTGGCGTCTCCTGGGGCGTGGAGCGGAAGGTGACAGAAGGCCAAGGCTGCCTCTGGACAGCTACACGGGGAGCCTCTCATGGACAGACTCCCGGTGCCGCCTGCCTCTCGCAGGAGTGAGGCAGCCTGATAGCCCTCACTGGCCCCACAGGGATGGGGCTGCCAGAGGGCCCATGCCAACTTGAACGTGTGTCTTCTTTTTTTGAAGAGGTTTTTGCTATAGGGCACATGCACTCATCACAAAGACAGAGGGAGAGGGAACCAGCAGTTAGCGTAATGGCTATGTCGCTGGACTCCCATGTAGTCGACCACGGTTTGAGTCCTGGACCTGGTGGCTTAAAACTCACGCCGGGCGCGTGTGCCTGCATTCCCAAGATCCCGAGAGGAATGCGGTGTGACCATCCCCCCTGGAGGGTGATTTCTCGCTTTCTGTCTCTCTGTCTCTGTCTGGCGAGCGCACACACACCCTATAGCAAAAACCTCTCCAAAAAAAAAAATATATATATAGTGACCATGGTAACCCCTATGTTGTTATTCATATGGCCACACTATAATCCCCTCTCCTCCATTCTCCTCTCGGGATCTTGGGCATGCACGCACATGTGCCTGGCGTGAGTTTAAGCCACCAGGTCCGGGACTCAAACAGCAGTCAACTACATGGAAATCCAGCGACATAGCCATTATGCCATCTGCTGGTCCCAAATGTACATCGTTTAAACCTGATACCAAATTTCCAGTCATGGTCAGTGGGAGTGGCAGGGGTGGGATGGTACCTGCAGGCCTGCTCCCCAGCCTTAGGGTAAAGGTGTAGCTCCTTCTCACGCAGGTGAGGAGGTGAGAACTGAGTTTCTGGGACTATGGGAGGTCCCTGGCCCCTGCGGCAGGAGAGCAGGCCGTGGGGCTGGGCAGATGCTCTCGGGCCCAGCCTGCCCACAGGAGCTCTGGAGGTCACGTCCCCTGCAGGCCCAAGCTGCTCAAGAGCCCCTAATCTATGACAAGGAGAGCACCCCGCCAACACGCCTTCAGCAAGTCACAGGGCCGCTCGAGGACAGGCCCACGGAAGCCCACAGAAGGAGCACCGCGTGGCGAGCGTGACAATGACCGGCACGGTCCCACAGACGCGGGTCCTCGCCGTCCACGTGTGTGCAGAGGGACAACGTGCTGTTTAGAGAGTTCTGCTCTAGGGCATGGGCGTTTGCTGGAGAGACAGAGAGAAAGTGAGACATCACCCCCACAGGGACAGCCATACCACAATCCCCTCTCCTCCATTCTCTCGGGATTTTAGGCGCGCATGCACACACATGCACCTGGTGTGAGTTTTAAGCAGCTGGGTCCGGGGCTCAAACCACAGTCGACCACGTGGGAGTCCAGCGCCATAACCACTATGCCACCTGCTGGCCCCACAAGCAACACTCTTCACATCAATACACCATGGGGCTAGCCTGGGGCCTGGGGCTGAGGTGGCTGCTCCCACACGGCTGGCTGCACCGTCCCAGGCCCGCGCCTCATGGCTTGGAGAATACACTGGCATGCGTGCTCAAGATCCCAGGAGGGAGACAGGGTCAAGGGACTGAGGTGCGATCACACCCCATGTGGGCGTCTCCTCGCCATCTCTCCTCGCCTCCCTCTGGCAAGGGAAAAAGAAAGCAGACGTGGCGGTTGTCGCGCTAGCAGCCCTTGGCGGAAAGCGCTCGAGTGTCTCTTCCCGTACGCTTTTACGCTTTTCCAAACACTCCGATTGTCCCTGAACACCTGAAGCATCCGCAGTTACCGGGGCCAGATGGAGCCTGCGGACTAGGGCCCTGGGGTGTGGCCAGTGTGAGTGCAGTCCCAGGCTGACCGGGCTTCTTGACTCTCTGTGGGAGCCCTAGCAAGACCGCGAGGCCACAGGAGCGCCCCCCGTCCCACAGCCTTGCCGGCAGCAAACAGCCCCGAAGCGTCTTCAGGCCGGTCACCGGTCACTGGTCTGAGATGCTTCTGGAACAGACCGGGGACGAGTGCACGGGCTGGGGCAGTACCTGAGGGAAGACGTCCGCGGCCTCTTCCAGGCTGACCTCGGCCTTCTGCGGCGCTGGCAGGACAGGCGGGCTCTTCTGCTCTCCTGCTGACCTGCCCCTCGGAGCTGAGCAAGACAGTCTGTGTCACTGGAGCAGGCCCCGGGTCCAGAGGTAGGCCGCTTCGTGGGACACCTCCCGCCCCTGCCGCCACGGGGGCATGGAGGCTGCTGAAAGGCCACCAGGAGGGAGCAGGTGGAGGCAAGCAGGCCCTCTGAAGGTGCCAGCGGTCTGCGCCCACCACGCAGCGGTGCCGGCCAGGCCAGGCCGTGCTCCCACCCAGGAAGTCCCAGAAAGTCTGACACCGTGGCAGAAGGGGCGCAGGGCGATCTGAGGCCTGAGGGCATTTCTCCTCCAGCGTCCCCCCAGAAGATGCACTAAGAGCAACTCAGGTGGGCTCTCCCCACCCGGGGTCTGCACCATGGTGAGGGGACTATTAGTTCATGACCCACTGCCCCTAACAGTAGCAGGAAAACGGCCACAGACACAGGAACCTTGAATCAGCCCTGCAGCCCCCCCGACCCGGGGGCCGCCTGGGCCTGTCTTCCCGGAAACATCTGCTGGTGGTAGAAAACTTGGAGACCACCACTTACCCTCCTGTGGAGGTGCCTGGTCTCTGCAAACTCAGACATCAGGACCCAGGCACCCGCACACCCGGCTGGGCCTGACTCTTTCTTCTCCTCTGGCCAAGCCACCTTGGGCCTGCAGGAGCCAGGGCAGCAGGAGCTGGAAGCTGCCCAGTCCACCCCAGGCCCTGGGCTTCCCTACCTTTCCACTGGCCGGCCACATGGAGGTAGGACAGAAGTCCACAGAAGACCAGGAAGAGCAGGAGAAAGAGGATGACGTTCCGCTGTAGTCTGGACAGCTGCTTCCACTTCTAAGGCAGGAGCAAAGAGTGACTTTCTGCTGAAATGAGCACAACCAGATCTCTCTGGCTAACTCATTTGCAGGGAGCACCAGCTGGGCCACCAAGAGGGGCGCGACCCGTCCCCAGGGGGAGGAGCAGGCGCCGGCTCCCGGCCTCCCG